AGAAATTAAACACAATATAAGCAAAAAAAATATTTAAAAGCTAAAGATACACTCCATTCACTGAATTTGTGTGGGAGAAAATGGGACATATGTAAATTCTTATAATTAAGATAAAAAATATGAGCCAGGTGTGATAGCTCATTTAAAAGACCTGCACATTAATTGTCTGCAATGTGAGATCATGTCTTATAGAAGTGAAAAAGTATGAAAAATATTGTTGAGTACACAGTATTAATAATATTTAATTCTCTAAGTGTGTTAGTGTAGGTTACTCAGGAAGCTTCATTTCAAGAATCCCTTGTACAAGCTCTGTATGGCCTGAACTTAGACATCAGGATTTTTTAGAGTGATTTGTCTCAGTTATGAGGAATGATTATATTACACAGGGTCATACATAGAACCACTTCATTTTGATGCATATTGCCTTCCTCAAAGGGGAAAGTGTAAGCATAACAGACATATAAAACTCCAATTGCCAAGTGGAAGTGATTTTGTTTTCTATTTATTTGTTGAATACATTGGTGAATGTTATTTTTTAGGCAGATAATGGTAATCTTTTATACTTTTGTGAAATATCCTTAAGGTCATATAAGAATTATTTTTATAGTGATATGTATGTAAACTGGTATCCATGGCTATTATTTTTCCTGATATGATTGTCTTTAATAGTATTTCCTCACTTTTTGAGGAGTTTCCAGGATATTTTCTACTGACTGGAGCTGCTTCATCTGCATCATTAGAATTGGGGCTTTCTTGGTGGTCCTCCCAGGACAGCAAACTTTCTCCTTTGGTTTCAATTTTCTCCTTCACTGTCCACCTAGTACTTCTCTACTGTATGGAATGAAAATATCTTTTCAAATCTTCAGTACTAACTCCTCAATTTGTTTCTAGATCCTAATCACTGACATTCTTTGGGTTTTATTTCATTTTATCAATGTCTTCCCTTAAAGGCTAGTCCCAGATTTCAAAATTAGTGCCTTCCTCTCACTCAAATCAAGCAACCATCTTCCTCCTTGCTGCCCAGCATGCCCATCAGTTGACTCTGCTATGCTTCTCTGCTCAACTTGTCCCCTTTTAACCTATCTAATTTTTTTCTCTCCCATTGAATGTGCCTGGCTGCACATTATCTTATGTGATGTTTTGAATCTCTGCCCAGACATACTTCTTGATGACAGTGGTGGCCAAGTCTGCCATGAATACTCTGTTCATTGTTTCCTCCAAGAAGTGATAATTAAGACTCAGCCTAGACAAATATGAATTCTTCCTCATTCCAAATGTGCTAGATCTTTTCAGATGGTTTGCCTAGTGCAAAGTGTTCTCCTTTGTGGACTCATTCCTATTCACTTGGTCATGCTGTGTAACCCCGACTCCCTGTATAATTCGAATGGCACTAGGATTTTAATGAGAGAGATTAAGGTTTGACTTGTAAATGAAACTACTCTAGGGGAAAACAGGAATTCCTACAGCTGAGCTCCATTAGAACTCTCCCCAAGTTCATTCTTTTTGGGGTAATGCAACTTTTCCAGGGAACCATTACTATTCTAGGAATGTCCTTTTTGAGATAATTTGCTTCTACTGTTTATCGACATACTGATATCTAATCCAGGAATCTCTGCTTGTGACAGACGACCAGGTAGTCCCCTATTTAGCAAGTTACTGAAATTTGATTCTGCTCTATGCTTCTTTTGAAGCTCAACTTCAGAATACTCAAATCATATCTGCTCTGCTTTATCTCCAAAATAATACTCTTTTCTCTACATCCTCTGCTGCTGCCTGGCTCTGGCCTGTGATCTCATTGTTGGGTCCATCAAGCCTTCCTTTGTTTCAGGGGTTATTCTAACCACATTATTTCTCTGCCTAAAACTTGCTGGAGTCTGATAACTCTTAGTATGACATTGAAAACCATATGTATTCTGGCTTCAAGGGCACAGGGCTCATCAAGCCTACCATGTAGGCTTGACACCCAACCTTACCAAAACCTTCTCCACATTACATCACTTTTATGATTTTTATAATATTATACCTTGTATCCTTTGGCCCTGGGAAAAGCAATACTTCTTTAATGCTCTTTTGGGCTCCTAACCCATCCCAAAGACCAGAGACATCACACTCCATCTTCAAGAAGGAGAGATCACTGTAGTGCTTGAAGTTTATCTTCACTACTAGAAACACAGGAACACAGTACATTTAATTCTTTATACTTGAGTGTAAGATTAGTAAGTAAATGTTAGGTACAATGGACCACATACCTATCCAACATTTACCAGGTTAGGAAAAGGCATAAAAACAACAGAAAAAAAAAAAAAAAAACAACTGTTTTCTCTGTTACTAGCCAAACTGTTTTCTCTGTTTCCTAGCCAAAGTTAGGAAAAAGGCAGGGTGGGATTTGCAAGGTAGATGAATTTAAGAAGAATATACCACAAACTCCATTTCAGTCAGCAGAATCTAAAAAATGAGACTCTCATGAAATTGTTGTTAGACTTCAAAGTGAATCCATTTATATGAATGTTTAACTGATGAAGCATTTCCATGTACATTAATTATTTTTCATGGTGACTCTGAACACACATTTTATGAATGCTGGTATCTAGATGAGAAAATAGCCATGTCAGATAGCTTGAGCAAGTCACACAACTAGTGAATGACCGGCCTTTGATAGGAAACTACCTTCTAAATTCAGGATTCAATGTTCTATCTTCTATGCTATGTAGCATTATAAAAGTACAAACAAACAACAAACAAAAACAATGTCACAAGTTATTAGGGGGTATGGGATTGAGATCTGTGTGCATGAGAGTCTAAAGCATCTGATACCTCACATATTCCTTGTTGGCCTAGAAAGGCTTAATGCCTGCTGCAGAAGGTATTGCTTTACCTCCCGGAATAGATAGTCAGGCTATTTCTGCCAGCACCAAGCCACTCCATGATCAAGGCAAGCTTAAATCTCCATGTCTGAGCATGGTTGGGGCAGTAAGGAGTACATATTTACATTCATTCTATTCAAATGGTTGGATTTACAGTTTTGGAAGTTGTTTGAATAATTTTATCAAAAGAAAACACATTTTAAGCAAGAAGTTAAAAAAGCTTTTAGGACCCAGAGGCCATTTAATAGCAGAAATCCTACTTGGGTAGTTTAGCAAATATTTCTCAAAATCCACATCTAACAGACATATTAGTATCAGATACACAGATTTGGTTTCAAAGCTGAAATCCCTCTGGCAGGATATAATTTTTCATGAAATTTGGTTATTTTGTAGTAAGCCACTAAAAAAATGGACAGATTTGTACTGACAACTTAAATAATAACTCAGTTGGCTACTTGTGTGTTATAAATAATAATAAAAAAAGTGCCCATGGAGGAGGGTGAAAGGTCTATGACATAAGCAAATGTTGGACTGAAAACAATGTTTAAACATATTCCAGAATCTAAAACAGGAAAAAAAAGTCACAATCTACTCAATATAGACCCTATTGGCCCAAACCATCCCAAAGAGTATAACCATCCATGTGAGGGTTACTAACCCACTTGCTACAGATGTTGCTATGTCACTAACAATGATCACAGAAAATATGTCATACCAGTTTTTGTTATCATACATGATATATTAGTGGCAGAAGTCTTGCAAAAGCCACTGTCTGAGGTTAGACAAATGTTCATCCATTGGTCTAAGAAACCATATATAAGAAGCACTAGGCATTCACCTTTCACTAAGTTTTCTGTATAAGTCAGCTCCCCACTCTAGGGAAGAGGCTGGATAGAGAGAGAATTGCAGCCCAGTGCAGTGCCATAGAATCTTATTCCTGTGCTTCTTTACGGGTCAACTTGTAGATCTCAGTTGGTCCATCCACATGGGTGATTGTGGTGGTGAGCTGCAGTTCTTCCCCGCTGTGGACACCCAGATCACCTGAAACAAGGTATTTGGTGTTATACTTGTTCAAGGAGGGAAGAGAGGCACTTCACATTCTACCCTGATAGGCTCTCACAACTGTTTTGTTCAGACTTTTTTTATATTTCTTAATATCACTTTTTGCCCCCCAGGCAGGTCATTAATGATATATAAGTTAACCTACTGCTGATAATCACAGTATTATTAACATTTAATGAAAACTTACCTTGTACTTACTGCTATTATAAATACTTATTATTCAATCTTATTTAATATTCATAAGAGCAGGCTAAAGTGTAGTCAATTATGATCATGCAAACAAAATAGTTGGGGAGCCTTGGAAGAAAAGCAAGGGAACCAACCCCTACTCCCATGAAGGGACAGGTACATAAAAGTATAGCAGTGAGGCCTGGCAAGGTGAATCTGACTCTGAGGCCAATACAGTGGGCTAGGTCAATTAAAACATACATCACAGCAGATGTGCAGGGCTGAGTAGGCACATAGCAGCTATTAATCATAACATATACAATGACTATATCTCCTACAAACAAGACCTGCCTACCATAACCAAGTACTCAGTCATACTAATATATACCAACAGCAATAATGGGCTTTCTTCTTCAGTAACAAAGACAAAAAAATGCCAGAATTTTCTTCTGCCCCTCAGGACTGCCTAAATACCAAAATAGATTGGTTTGCCTAAAATGGAATAACATGGCCTTTCCTTAATTAGGAGGAAAAATAATGCTAAACAGTTAAGAGTCTGAAGCCAATATTCAGCTATTATTTGAATGAACTAGCAAACTAGTAAGAAGAGAGTAGAAATACCCAGAATCAATGGTCAGTTTCATTCTGAGATGTACATACATACACACATTTATATATGGTAGTACACGGGAATAGAACATGAAATGTGGGCCTGTGCGTGGAAGCATGTGCATGATTTTCATATTATATAGCTATTTTATTTTCTAGAAATAAGCATTTTCTTAGTTTAAGCATATAACTAAACTCAGAGTTTGGGTTAGAGACAGAGAGTGACCTGACAGTCCCTTAGACACTATCCTGAACATTAAGAGACCCGTGAAAGTCCCTTGGATACTATTCTAGGCAGAGGGCAACCAAAAGCCCCTTAGATACTGTCCTGGGCTTGAAAGTCTTAGAATCCCACAGATCATCCCACTCAGGAACTATAGATTGTTTAGCCAATATGTTTGTTCATGGATTCCATGTGGTGTTTGCTTTTCATTATAGATCTACTTTTCAGTATGGTATGCCATAATCTATTACACCATTAAATACCAGCTCTCAAGACTTAGGCAAATAACATTCTGAATAAAGAAGCATTAGGTCAGCCTCCAGCACTTTCATTAAATCTACTTCTGGACAGGGGAAGAAATGCATAACAAAGCTTGTGAGAAGTTGCCAAATCAACCTCAAGCCAAGGACAACCAGTAGTTTTATAAGAAGCACATTCTTTCTACTCATAAATGTCACCTTCCTTACCTCAAATAGCTCTCTTTGCTTTCATATCATGTGTATGTTATCATTCTCTCTTTTTGTCCTCCTCTTCTATGACCTACACAGGAATGTTCTCTCTCTCTCTCTCTCTCTCTCTCTCTCTCTCTCTCTCTCACACACACACACACACACACACACACACACACACACACACACACACGCCTGAACTAGAGCTTTATCTAGTCAATGACTCAGTTCAGAAAAAGCAGAAGCCTCACACTTGTAGTCAAAGAAAGCAACTTACAGATTTGTATTTACAGGCTGAGCCATCATATTAAAGTCGGTTTCTGATGGCTCATCTGTTCCATTCACCAGAATTTCAAAGATAATCCTGACCATTACAGGAGCAGTTTTAACTAATGGATTCCTTTCTCCTAGAAAATGTGTGTGATGTTGCAGGGTGTATAAAGAAATAGCCAAAATACTTTGGCTTTAAAAAAAAAGGCTAAAACAAACAAGCAAAAAAAACCTAAAAATATGTATCTACGTTATAGTGCTTATCCTGTGCCTGACGGCTCTTCCTGCCCCCTCCTCCTTCTCTTTCCTTTCTTTTTTTGAAGGCTAGATTTAATTATTTAGCCACAGCAGGGGTAAAACTCAAGATCCCACTGCTAGTGTCTCTGGATTTCAGAGATTACAGGTGTGACTATTACTCCTGACTCTGACACAAGTTTAGGTGTTATACAAACACTGATGCAGAAATCCACAAACCATTCTGTTAATAGAGGCAATGTGATGGATATATTACTTATGACTTAATAAAGCTGGCCCGATGGTTCAGTATGCAAAGCCAGCCACACAGTTAGCTATAGAAGCTAGGCAGTGGTGATATACACCTTTAATCCCAGTACTCAAGAGATAGAGACAGATGGATCTCTCTGAATTCAAGGCCATCCTGGCCTACACAAGAGTGAATCAGTCTAAAAGAGAATTTAGAGCTCACGCCTTTAATCCCAACCCTAGATAGGCATATAAAAGACAGGAGCCCAGTGTCTCAGGCTGCATTCTGAGATTTACTCTCCAGGCATGTTGAGGAAAGGCAGCAGTCTGGGGATTGGAGTCTGAGGGTTGGTGGAAACAGGACTGTCATTTCAGCCTGAAGTTGAGGTAAGAGCTAGTGGCTTGGCTGCTTTGCTTCTCTGATGTTCAGCTTGAACGTTGAACCCCAATATCTATCCATGGGTTTTTATTTTTCATGTTACAAGGCAATATTCATATCATTCCCATTCTGCTGATGAAAAAGCAAAGGATAAGTAACCTGCCCAAGTCCCAAACTAATTCACAGTAATATTAGATACAGATACACACTACAAAAATACAGAACAGGCTCCATGCTCTTAAACTTCAGGTTGTAATATGTATTCTTATAGATAATAAATATATAATCTAATAATGTGGAGGGACTTTTAGAATACTAAATTTGTTTTAATATTTGATATGTTTTTAGTATACTCATCTGAGAAAGAACAAGGGAGCTGTGGTTTATATATATTTGCAATGTGCACTTTTGGAGGCTTAGCAAGCCCTGTATTTCCTTGTAAGATGGAAGGATACTGAAGCATTATTAGTTTACCTAATGTGCTAGATGAAGACTCATAGTGAAAATCTGTGCAGTAAAATTTATGAATCTTGCATCTTGCAGGGCAACTTTTTTCCCTTAGGGTATGGTGTTGGGAATATGCCAGTAACAGAGATTCCTTCATTTGACTCCAAACTCCATTAACCCCTATTTCTGCTAGAGTCTTGATCCATCTGTTGGTCTATCTCTGTTTTGTCTTCTGGGTGCTTAAAGTCTTTACCCATCAAACACAAAAAGAAACCCTCTGAAAACATTGGGGGAAGATGGAGAATTAAGGAACTTCCACTTGCTGTTTCACAGATTCTTTGTGAGAACAAAGCTATTCTAATATTAAAAGGGACCCCATAATTGCATCCTTATAAACCATCAAGGCCACATAACACACCACTGCTCAAAAGTTACTACCAGAGAGTTCCAATACTGTGAGCTCATATTTGTTTCTCAAGATCAAATACAGTCTGTGCTAAAGCCAGGATCCTGGCCATCTGTGACTCTCTTCAAAGCTTGTATTCACTCCACAGTCAAAACTGACTTTATCATTTTCTGTGGACTTTTCCTTGGTTCCATTCCAACCTTTTTCATATTAGCCTTCAAAAGTAAATTTAAGTGATTATTCTTTATAATGAAATTTATGGTTCAGAGCAGAATAGGAAAAACCAAGAATGCTGTATTTGTTGATATAAATTGATTCAATGTAAAATATTACTATTAATATTATGTTTGCCTTACATTTTGGGTGTTAATATGATGATGGTGATGATTACGTTTAAAAATTACAATAATGAATATAGAGGATTTTCAATCTTTTTTTTTGTAAATAAATAAAATACCCAGAACACCTTCCAGGTAGTACATGCTAATCAATTATTCATCAATATTCACCTACCCCAGCTCATTTGTACCTCTGCCAACCTATCAATGGCTTAGCATCCCACACTGTCGCTCTTTCCTGGAGTTTAGGAATAAATCCTCTACTGGAAAGCAGGTGTGCCTCAGGGTAAGAATGCCTCCTGGGTGAAGGTAGCTTTGGTGGGACAGGGTTCAAAGAGCCTAGGTCTATTTGTCATGCCAGCTTAACAATGAAAACACTCCAGAAAAGGGAAAAGGGACAAAGAAAGTCTGCAGAGAATAAAAATGCTACTCAGACACTGGGAGAATTTAAAAACACAGTATATTTTCCTGACTTTGTATTTTTTTCAAGCTTTCCAAGAAGCTTTGGGGTCTTGCTTAAAGTTCCAGAATTCACCAGACCTACTATGTTGTCTGCTGTAAGATGAAAGGTTAAAAGGGAAAGATAAAAGAATGAAGGTGATAAGGAAGCCCAATATGGAGAGACCATTTTAGAATTGAGTAAGGTCATGATGTCACAAAGAAGAGTAGAGGATACAAGTTGCTAGGGCTTGAGAGCTATTGTGAAGTCATAATATGTAGAGATTTGTTAAACTGTATGGCTTCTGTGTTTTTGATTAGCATAAAGTCCCCCAAAAGTCTGCTACTAAGTGCTTAAGACTGTTTCTAACATGCTGTTTGGGGCATTACAATACTTTGCTACAAGGAAACATTAGGATATTCAGCATCTTTAAAATCTGGACACAAAATGACAGCGGCATATCACAGTCATAGTGATAATGCAAGGACATGCATGTTCCAAACATATATTTAGAAAAAAAAATTAGGACATGTTCTGCTATTGAGAATTAGTATCTGAGCTTTCTGTGGTGTTATAAATCAATCTGTCTTCCACAAAAATTCTGATGAGGACAACATTGTAACATTTCTCGATTATGAGACGTTAAGCTATTGCACAGGGTAAGAAGCTAGTCATGGCTCTGGAGCATCACATGCTCATTAGTGATGGGGGTGGATACATTCTTATCTGTGACTGACATTACCCCTGAGTTGCCACAATGAGAGGAGGTATCCTTCTGCTTTTCCTTGCTAGCACAAAAAAGAAACAGAATATGACAGTGTGGAACTTGAAGAGGTCATTTACAATAAAGAAAACCCACAATAGTGTGGGTTAGCATATTTGACATCAAAAACCACAAGGGTTCATGCAGTAAATGCTCATTAACACAACTTGTTAGCATGTTTGTTATAACATCTAGGGAACATAGCAATTATTTTTGTTATTTACTTGGAAGACAAAAACTCTCAAATTCAAGTCAAGGGCAAGGCCATGTAGTTTCTATTAAAATCTTGCAGGAGGACCATGAAATAAAATCAATGCTCTTGTCTATAATCCAGAGTCCCATTGTGCTAGCAGTATGGTGACTGGCTGTTTAAAAGCTACCTGTCCTACTTTGCTACATTTTGTAACACATCAACTAGCAGTGGAAGAATGACTGACAGATACCTCAGATACCAAGCCCTCTAGAAAGGCAGGAAGTAGGAACACCATGGCCAGAGATAGAATAACAACTGGAAATGACAAGATCTCTTTCTTCCAAAAAAGTCAAGGTATAAGAAGGAAGATAAATCTTGTGTGCAGAATGTTTACCCATAAAAGCAACAGTGTAGTATGAAAACAGATGGAAGCTGGACTGAAGTCCTTGCTCCAACATTGGAGAGTTACCTCTCCTGGTTCCTCCTCATTTCCATTTCCTTATTTTTAGCTGATCATTACAGCCACATGCCTCTCTTCCTGGCACTGAGACAGGTGAACTTCATGTTCTAGCACAGCCTGAACTATACAGTGAGACTTTATTTCCAAAAAGAGAATAACAATAAAAACAAAATACAAAACCATAATTAACCCTGACCTTAAAGGAATCAAGATTCCACCAGGAGAAAGAAGGCATAGGCTGGATCACCTCCCGCATCTTTGCCATAAAAACAGCAATCATATTACCTCAGGTCTGTTTTTTAAAAGTCTAGTTACACACGTATGTGTGTGCATTTGGGTGGAAGCCAGAGAGAGATGTCAGTTATCTTTCTCAACTGCTTTTCACCTTCTTTTTTCAGATAGGATTTATCAGTGAACTTGAAACTCACTGTTTTCGTTAGTCTGAGTGGCAAGCAAGACCCAAGGAGTTTCTTGTCATTGTCTAGGTCACAGACAATGTACCACCATGCCTAGTTTTACATGGGTGTTGAAGATCCACATTCAAGTACTTGTGCTTATATGACAAGCCCTTCAGCATTTGAGTCTTCTCCCCAGCCACAATAAAAAAATAGTTTATGAAAGGCATGAAGATGACTTGCAGTGAAAAACTTCTTTGATGCTTATCAATCTGGCTTAACTTACCTAACTACTAAAAACATGCCACCAGCCTACAGAAATGATATTCCGTTTACCATAATTTTTTGTGTTCTAATGTGGGGGATCAGAAATAGCTTTCAAAGAGGAGACAATATATAGACTGTGCCCCAAAGAGGATAAGGATTCAGCAGGCTCTGATGAAGATAGAATCCACTCATTAACCATACATACATACTGAGTATTGAAAAGTAAGTCCAAGTCTTAATGCAAGGAGATGCTCAGGTGTTGATCTCTGTACCAAGGCATTTAGAACACACTAGTACTAAATTTTAGAAAACATGTCATGTATTATTTTACCCTAATAATGAGAATGCAGTTAGGGTAAAGCAGGTGTGAAAAGAACAAAAAGAGTAAGACTGGATGTAAAACAAAAGAAGATCTATTAAACTAGCTACTTATTAGCCATCTGTTACATGTGGATAGCATTGGGAAGAGACAATCATTTCCTTTTATGGTGGCTAGTGCAGAGACTCAACAATTCCTCTTCTCTGATACTCAGTTTCCTTTCCTCTGATGACCAGATTGGCTAAATGCAATTAGTTTTGGATGCCTTGGGTGTCTGCAATTATAAGGTAGGAAAATGTGGCATTCTCAGCACTAGAAGATAGGAATTATCTGAAAACAGAAAAGAAATTGGTTTGGGGAAAAGACCTTCTTGAAAAAACTGTAATATAGATCAATGGGAGAATACCTGCTAAGCCTACATGAAGTTTTGGGTTGATCCCAACATAAATACACACATGCACAGCAAAAAAAGGAAGTGAACCAAGGAAAATAAATAAAATTCCAGGTACTTTTACCCTCCATGGTTGGAGGAATGAATGTGGCAGACTTTTCAAGAGTTCATTTTATTGAAGGAAAAGTAAGGGAAACAAATTTTATTCTTTACTAGTGTAACTGAATGTATTTTATGAACATTCTCAATCTATTTTGGAGAATGAAACAAATGACTATTTCAAGAGCTATTGTGTTGAATTTTTGTTTATGATTCCTGAATCCCTTGAGTGATCACTTACTCTCTGCATGTATAACAAAGACATCTGGAAGTATATTTAAGCGATGAACACAGGGCTTTAGCCATCTAAATCTTGAAGACACAAAGATCTATTCTATCCTGATGAATTTACAATGAAAAGACAGAGACTCACCATTAGACTGGTCTTCCCCATAGTTCTTATGGGATGGCGCATACAAGAACATCAAAGCAAAGACATACAGGTTCCACATTCCATAGATGCCAGTGAAGAAAGCACTGTTCACTTGAACTGTGACACCACCCCATTTCCAATGGCCTTCTGTCACCTATAGATAAAAAGGAAGGCATTCAAGTGAAACAGAGAAGCATAATACTAAAATAGAAATCAATTAACATGAAAGCCAGGGCTTTTCTTCAAATGGAAAAGTTAAGGGCCTTATAAGACTCCACATTTTATTGTGAATTGGAATCCATGAAAATTAAGGTCTCCTGAAGCTTTACTAGTGTCAGGCACATAGTCAGTGGTTCTTATTTTGGCTATGCATTAGTATAACTTTGAGAATGTCTCTTCCTAGAAATGGAAGTCCACTTCTTCAGTAAAAGGATTGTGTTTGACTCCATCCACAACTACAGTTTATTCTCTGTAATCTTCCAATATAAACAAAAGCTCCACAAGGCAGAAAGCATCTCTAACTTGCTTGCTTCAGCTGCAGCTGCAACATCTTTGGTGTTTGATATACCATGTAAGTGCAGTAAACATAAATGCACATTTACTCAATAAGGAAAAAGCAAAGTCTCTGGAATTCAGTTTTCTTAAAAACTTGTAGGGTTATAGATGAGAACTGAATATACATGTAATTTCTAGAAATTGTATGGCAGACAGTAATGATATATCATATTTATTTATGAAATGCCATTCTAGGTAAACTACTGATGAAGGTAATTAGGAAGCATCCATATGCTTTGTAGTTTTGTAAGAGATGTTCAAAAACTGCCTCTCTTTGAGATAATGACTTGGTAATTGTTTCAGAGAGCTTTGAAGATACATGGTTTACACTGACAACTGCTATAGAGCTGTTGAGCTGAATAACTAATAATTTGTACAAGTACTGAGCTCACTGAAATGATTTCAAACACTTCTGCTTGCTATAGGAAATTTTAAATGTGGATAAAAGAAAGTAGTGGGTACATGTTTCTTTGACAGCTTAATGAGTTTGGGTTATATAAACCTTATCTAAGAGCCACTTCTAAATTACAAGATTGCAAGATAGCTCAGTTGGAATGTTAATGACTTCAACAAAAAGGTTGAGCTTGCCTCATGTTTATGACACAGTGGGTCTGTATTCATTCAGGCCTTCCTTTGTATTTCCCATGACCCACTGGGGCCCTCAGTCTTGTAAAATCTTAACTATATATATTTTTTTGTTTTGAAAAACTCAGAGTGTCTGGAAACCAGGAAATACAATTATAGACCATGTTAGTCTATCCTTTGGTGGTATATAATTTTTCATTTTGGTGACTCATAAAACAAACCACCACCATAAACTCTTACTCATTTTGTAAAATGATTTATTTTATGAAATGTCCAGGTGGTAGTTTTGATAGAGTTTATAACCATTACTTATTTTAGGTCATGTGTCAGCATTCAAGCTATTTATGCTCTCTTAGCAATGTTTCCAAATGCCACTTTAACATTAAAATACAAATTGTTTCCACTTCATAAAAATTATACCGTGTGTAACACAGACTTATGTACAATGAATATGATGGTAGGGGAAGAAGCTTTAAGAGAGTTCCAGGATTCTGTGCTTCTGGTCTAGTCCAGGTAACAGGGGAGGCTGGGCTTATTAAAATATAAGCAAGACAGAAGAAAGCAGCTTTGGGGCAATGTGCCTTCAACTAAGGAAAGGGCATGTAAGAGATTTCATTTTGGGACATAAGCTGAGAAAATTCATAATTGATATTTTAAAATATAACTTAATATAACTGGTATTTTTTCAATTTGGCTGAAGATTTGCATAATAATTTTTTAAAGGATTTTTTGAGATTATAATATAATTACATAATTCATCCTTCCCTTTTTCTTCTTCCATACTATCCCATATACAGCCTCACCACCAGTGTCTTTCAAATTCATGGCCTCTTTTTCCTTTATAAGTTGGTGTGTGTGTGTGTGTGTGTGTGTGTGTGTGTGTGTGTGTGTGTATGAAATCAGTATAAATATATTCACTTGGCCTTATAATCAATATTACTTATATGCACATGTCTTCTTTGCTGACCATTTGGTATTATGTAACCAATTTGTATGCTCTTCTCTGGAGAACACTATTTCTTCTGCTCTCAGCATTCCCTGGCAGTCTTTGTCTAAGATTGAGGCTTCTTGAGTGTTCCTTCTTCCACAGAACTGATATTTTGGTGAATTAATTCTTGCTAGGATTGGTATGATTGATTCATCTACAGAAATAGCCACAGGCCTGATAATCACACAGCACTCAAATGATACGTGTTGATACAGCAATGCTATAAGAATGTTTGTGGGAAAAACAAATCAATAATAAAAAAGAATGTCTGTTGGGAAACAGAAAGCAGGGCTAGAATTGAACACAAGAATTCAGCAGGGTGGACTATGATTCACTATTGATTGAGGATGAGTTTTAATGGATGTAGGTACTGCTTGCTCATAATGGAGGCGATTAATGAGTTAGGCAATTTGAACAAGGTTCCAGATGACATGCCATAGTCTCCAAGGAATTAGTTGGGATGGACCTTGAGTCTTAACAATTTGTTTAGAAGAATAAAAACAGGCTCTGAGTAGTGATACTACTGAAATCCAAGATAATACTTGGGCTCTCAAGGTCAGGTTGTTTGTTTGTGTGAGGGAGAGAAAATTCTTCTTCTTCTTCTTCTTTCTTTCTTTCTTTTTTTTTTTTTTTTTAAGAAATGGTCATTTTTCAGCCCACAGACTGGGAAAAGATATTCACCAACCCCACATCTGACAGAGGGCTGATCTCCAAAATATACAAAGAACTCAAGAAGCTATTCTCCAAAACACTAAACAATCCAATTAAAAAATGGGGTACAGAACTAGATAGACAATTCTTAATACAGGAATCTAAAATGGCTGAAAGACACATAAGAAAGTGTTCATTCAACATCCTTAGCCATCAGAGAAATGCAAATCAAAACAACTCTGAGATACCATCATACTCCTGTCAGAATGGCTAAAATAAAAAACACCAATGACAGTTTATGCTGGATAGGATGTGGAGAAAGAGGAACACTCCTCCACTGCTGGTGGGAGTGCCAACTTGTACAGCCACTTTGGAAATCA